CACATGCGCCCCTGAGTCTGTGCTGATGCTTGAGCTTTCCCACGGCTCAAGGATCTCACGGACGTCTTCATTGGCGGGCTCGCAAGACGCATCCCTCCGCGGTGATGGCGTGGGCTTCGGGTTAGGCTCCAGCTGTTTCTTCTCTTTGACCATCACCAGCCACTGCACTCGCTGCTCTGGCGCGGTCTCATTTTGCATGCGGTGTCCGGCTTCTGTCGGCGAACGATCCGCAGGCATCCTCGTCGTCTGACTTGTCGGAGATCGCGATAACCAAAGGATCGACGACGTTCGCCCGAAGGCTGACCCTGAAGTGCCTAGGCCTGCTCACTGCATCAGTGCTGCAACCTCAGCGACGTCGCTCAGGCCTAGATTCACTCGCCGGCACTTCTCCAACGGGCCCTCGGCTAGACATCCGCGAAGAAGCCTTTGCTAGCGGACAGGGACTGCATCTCGAGGACGTTGTAATCGGTGAAAACGACGGCCTTCCAACAAAGCGTTTGCACATTGCACGTTTGCGTCTTGCTGGCGATCGCTTTGCCCAGTCTGATTTCGGCAGATACACGCGCGCGCATGCTCGGTGATGGACGCGCGTCGCCGCGTCGCACGCTCTCAAGACGCGGCAGCGGCGGCAGGTCTCTCAATAGCTAAGAGCCAGGTGCCTGCGAGGAGGCTGCGCCAGGACCATCTCGCAGGTCACTTTCCTGATGCCCGCGGGGTTGGAAGCGCGGTCCCCCGCAGGGCCTGCCGGCGTTCGGGAAGGCACCGTACGCCGCGATTGCGAGCGCGGACTAGAGGCGCGTCTCTGTCGCGGCGCTGGTTGTTGGCCGCGCATATTGAGGCGGGCCCCGCGGCTCCTTCGAAAACGCCGCAGTTGCCGGCCTCGCTCCCACAGCGCATACTCCAGTGCGCGAGTTACCACAGGACGCATTGGAGCCTTGCTGCGATCGCGACAATCAAGCGCACGCTTCCCCGGGGCAACCCAGATGCCCACTAGATCGCCCGAAATGAGAATACGCATGTCAATTTGCACTTCTGCGCGAGAAACAGAATCAACCCCGCCCGACGCTCACCCGGGCGCCGCAGCGACGGCAGGCCCCCCCGCCCCACCCCCCCCTCGCACCCTCCCCCGGCCACCCCCCTTGTCGACCCCGCCAGTCGACCCCGACCCCGCGCCGCCCTGCCACGGGGCCCGCAAGCAACGTCGTCGCCGCGCAGAGCGCGACGGACCAGTTGATGCGACAAGCGGGTCGGCAGCCCCAGCCCGCGCGATTCCCGCGCGCCCGAGCACGCCCGCAGCCGCGCGTTCGTGGACCGAACAAGTCACGAGAGCCCCCCCGACCCCATCGGGCGCGGCCAGACCAAAACGAAGCCCACGGGCACGCTCGCAGCCGCGCGCGCCCGGGGGGGCACGCACGCGCGCACCCTCTTCAGCCACGGGGCAGCGAGAAACGCCCTCGAGCCGCAGAGTCGGCGGCGCGCGCGCAGGCCCAGCAGGCCACCCACTACGGGGCCCGCACACGTGACCACTAAGTTTCTCGGCACGAAGTCCCACGCGAGATCACAATTTCCAACGGCGCCGCCCCGGCCGCCAAACAGGAGGACGACCGGGCGCGGCGGGCGCCCCTGCAGACCCAATGGTCACGCGAGAAATAATGGCCACACCGACGCAAATCAATGGCCACGCAGAAAGCAACGGCCACGCTGCCGAAGAGTAATGGACACACTGACAGGAAATGGTGGTCGCGCAAAAAGTAATGGTCACATCGAAACGCAACAAAAGCGACAACCACCACAAATTGCACGCGTCGCTGCAGTGTGCCACCCGCATCGGGGCGCCCGCGCCCACGCCGATGAGCGTTGGCACCCCCCTGCGGCCCACCCCATGGCCGGACCGCGCCGCGCGGCGCGCCTGGCCCAGGCGCCGCGAGGAGCACCGGGGCGCAAGACTCCCCGAAGACTGGGCGGTGGCGGGAAGAAAACAGCAGCCCCCCCGCAGCGCCACCGCGACATTCGGCGCCGCGAGGAGGGGAAGCCCGCGCGCGGTCGCGCGCCCCCCCACGGCCGCGCTAAACGGCCGCACCCCCGTCGCGCGCGGCGGCGGCGGGCCGCGCAGCCTGGCGCAGCGCTCGGCCCACGAGCGCGCCCCCGTGCGAATTCGGGACCGCCCCAAAGGACACCATGACCACTGCGAGCCCCAGGGAGCTCGATGGATCAACCACAAATTGCGCGAGGCGCTGCCATGCGCCACCCTCATCGGGGCGCCCGCGCCCACGTCGACGGGCGTCGGCGCCCCCCTGCGGCCCACCCGTGGGCCAGGCCACGCCGCGCGGCGCGCCTGGCCCGAGCGCCGCGCGGAGCACCGGGGCGCAAGACTCCCAAAGCCAAGAAGCACCCCAGAACTGCGCGCGGCACTCGCGCGGCGCGCCCGGACCCCCATCGCCAGAGGGCCGCGCTGCGCGCGAAGCCGCACTGGCAGCGCTCACGCTTCGTCGCCCGACGACTCGGCAACATAAGCTGAAGTCACGGCGTCCTGCCCCATTTCGCGGATGTCCAAGCATGCAAGGAAAGACGGGAATCAGCAACGCGCCTCCACTCCCGGGCGCGAAAAATCTCCGCCAGGGTGCAACCTGAAGACCTCATTTCCTGAGACGCGCGACGCCCGTCCGCGCCCTGGCTCGGGCACCGAGCGCACAGGGCCACTCACCTCGGCATGGCCCCAAAAATCACGCGTGCGATAACAGCGAGCAACAGACACGCCCAGCGCGTGGAACGCGCTGCGCAGCGTGCCGAGGGCGAGCGCGGGCGCGACCCCCGGGAACAGACGTTCACCCTGCCGGCGCCCGGACAGCTGGCGCCCCACCACGTGGACTGGGCAAGTGAACGGGGAGCGCGAGCACCAGCACTTGCGCGCCAGGAAACTCTCTCGCCTCCTGTTCTTACGCTGCCGCAGCCGCAAACAGAGCTCTTCTCCTCGGAGCTATACTCCCGCTGGCCAAGCCGGCGGGCGTCAGCTGCCCCCCGCGCGCGCGGGCAACGCCCCTGAGGGCACGCGCGACAGAAACGCGCGCGAGAGCAGACACGGCAGCGGAGTGCATGCAGACCTCGCATGACGATTGCCGCCTTTGCGCGCTTGACGGCTGGATGATCGCAGGCCGCGACATCTGCGCCAGCGGCAAACATCCCAAGCGAACGTAAGATGCGTAATTGGCGGAAGCACATGGGCATCTGGAGGTCAAGCTCCACGACGCCAATCCCTCTGCGGTCGGGGGCAGGGCCTGGCCAAGCCAAAAGCCAAGGATGGCGCCAGCGCGCGCGAACCGGCAGCGCAGGCCAGACTGCACACTCGCCACGCTGCCCGGGCACCTGCCCAGAGGGACCGCCGCCCACGCAGCGCGCGAACAGCCCTCTCTGTCGCCCGCGGAAAGCAATGCCGCCCGCAACGCCCCCGCGGCGGCACGGGGCCCGCGCTCGGGGCCCGCGCCAGCCCCTGCCGCGCGCGCTGCAGCCGCTGCCACGAGCCGCGCGGGCTCGTTGGCGACGAGGCCCCTTGCATCACTCTGGGCGGCGCGGCCTGGGGAGCTGGGCGAGCTACTCCGCGCTGCGCCCGCGCGGCCCCCAGCGCCGCCTCCGCCGCCCTCAACGCCGGCAAACGGCCGGACAGAACGTCGCCGAGAGCGCAGCGGGCGCGCGCAAGGCGCCCCGCCACGTCACAAGCTTGAAATCGCACTCGCGACGAGTCGGACAAACTGATCGGCGAACGCCTCGCCGGAGCGCCCTGCAAGCCGACGAGGTCGCCCGCGACGGCGCCCCTCAATTCCCCCCTTTGACGCGAAATCATTCACCTCAAACAGCCAGGCAGTACAACTCAACAGCGGCAATGGCGCATTGGATCAAAATGGCGGAAGTTGGACGCCGCAAGCGGCATGTCGGCAAAGCCCCGCGCGTCACGACCTCCCGCACTGCGCCCCCGGGGCCGCCCCTGCGCTGCGCGCCCTGTGGAAGACCGCTGACCGAAACGCACCCCTGCAGCCCGCCACGACGGCGACGGCCGAGGTGCCAATGTCTTGCGACACGCGCGCACCCTGCCCGCGCGCGAGCCTGGCGCGCCGACGCCACACCGAGAGGAGAAACGACCCAATGACTCCAGACGGAGAAGGGCCTCCGCCCAGCGCGGCCCACCGTAGAACGCCCCCATGCAGCGCGGGAGCTTACATTGGCAGCGGCTCGGCAAATCCGCATGATTTCTTGCGGTCGGCAGGCGCATGAACCAGGACTGCGCCTCGGCCTCTGCTAGCAGCAACGATGCCGCATGCACGATCCGCGCGCGGTCAAAGGAGTGCGGGTTCGCAGTCCAGAAGGCGCACTCCGCTCCAACGTTGTCGGAGGAAGCGACCACCTGCATGCCCGCGAGACGGTCAGCAAACGTTGACAGGCCCAGGCTACCGACTGCGAGTTCGAGCGCCATCCTCTGACTGCTGGGTCTCTTTCCAAAGCAGCGCGTGAGTTCGCTCGGCGGGGCGGCGCCCGTCCAGAAAACCTCGTTGCCCGCGACGAGAACCGCCGCCAGCCGCGCCGGGTGCGAAGCTGCGTCGGCCAGCAGCACCGCAAGCGGCGACCCGCGCACGCGCGAAACGCCTGACCACGAGGCGACGCGCCGGAGGTTCAAGTTCAACACGCGCATCCACCACGAGAGTGCCAGGTGGAGATCAGCGCCACCTGTCGCACCCCGACCATACTGCCAGGCAAACAATGGAAGGCACGGCACGCTCCACGCGGTGCCACGCGCACTGGCCTGCCCGTGACAGCGCGCCTTGCAGCTGGGACGCGTCGCCCGCAGTCATCGCCCCCGAGGCCGACGCATCGGCGCACTTGGCGCGCCACTCTGCCAACTTGTCCGGGCTCGGCCACAACGCGACGCCTGTCGCCTCGCGGGGAAAGACAACCCCGAGAACTGCCATTGCGGGGCCAGCCTCCGGTTCGGCCTCCGCGATGGCGGGCTCACCGAGCACGTCGCGCACCAGCCTGGCAGTCGACCCAACTGCGCGTTCCGCCGCTCCAGCTTGGCCCGCGGCAAGAAAATCATCGACGTACGTGGCCATCGGCAGTAAGAGCACGCGATGCGCGATGTCCGACTCAGCCGCCCCCATGCGACTCCACCCACGCCCGGGCGCCGCGGGCCCGAAGGGCAGACCTATGTGGGATGACATCGCGGGGGCGCCGTCACGAAGCAGCACCGACGTCGCAGCCCACCGATCTGCGGGCCTCAGAGGGGGCAGGCGGCAAGCCGAGTCGACGTCGACCTGACAAATGCGAGAGGCACCGCCTGTCTCGCGCTGGAACGCGCGGAAGATGACAACAAAAAACTCGACTCCGTCGCAGCTAAGCTGCCCCACGACTTCTGCACCGGCTTCAACAGCGCCGCCCGCGCGCAGCCCTTGTTGGACGGCAATGCGATTGGCAAGGCAACAGCCGCACATTGCGCACTGGTCTGGCGCCTCCAGCGCCATCGCCCCCCCCAATGCCGGCGCCCTCCTGCGCGAGCTCATGCAGCTCTGCCGACAGGGCCCCCCACGCAGGAAGGAGAGAACTTCCTCGCTGTGCTCGCGCACCGAGTCGCGCCAGGACCCTGCCGAGCCGGACGATTCGATCCGCACGGCAAAGCCATTGCGAGCTGGAAACAGTGCTCACCCAACAACGCGAAGCCGCTGCGCAACGCCTCGCGGCACTCCACGTCCTCGCGCACCCCCTCGCGGAAGAGCGAATCGAGCAGCGGCCCACTTACGTCGCTGATAAGCCGCTGCGTTCTGTCGCCCGCCGCGCCTGCCCCCCAGGCAGCGGCGCGGCCGCTCTGCGCAAAACTCCCGACCTGGCGCTCGATGCGCGAGGTCATGACCTCGCGCTGCCTGATCACATCATCGAGGGATTTCGACGCCCCCCGCGCGACGGCCTGGGCCACGTCGCCGATGGCCCGCACATTTTCCAGCGCTTCGCAGCGCCGCGATTCGGCGCCATCGCAGTCTTCGGCCAAGAACCGCACGTAGGCCGCATCCTTCTCGCCCCCCCATTCCCCCGCCAGCGACCGCCGCCGCGGCTGCGGCGGCGCCGGCGGCATTGGCGCTCGATTCGCCGGCCCCCGATGCACGCCGATGCGCGAGACGCGGGCGCGCCCGCGCGAATGCGGAGGGTCTCGTGGCGGGCGCGCTCGCACTACTGAGGCGGCACCGCTGGCGTCGCTTGCACCTTTCCGCGCGAACGCGGGGGGCCTCGTGACGGGCGCGCTCGCACCACTGGGGCGGCGCTGCCGGCGTCGCCGGCACCCTGCCCCGGCGCGTGGCCAGAGGCGGGGGCGGCACAGGCAACGCAGACGGCCGCTGGGCGCGCCTGGCTGCGCTGCCGCGCGCCGCCGCCGGGCGGCGATGGAAAAAACAAGGAAGGCGCGCATGACGAACGCGCGCTCACCGCCCGCGCAGCTGCGCATCTCTGGGCGACACAAATACGAACGGCCTTGCAGCGACGAGAAACAAGGAGACACGCCGATGATGGTTCGGCCGAAACGTCGCGCGCACCCCCGCGCGGCCACAATTACACGCGGCACCGCAGCATCGAACTGCGAGAAGGCAAACGCGTCGACGAATGTTCGGCCAAACAGCCGGCCTCCCGCAGCGCCACCGCGCGTTCGGCGCCGCGAGGAGGGAACGCCCGCGCGAGGGCGCGCGCGCCCCACGGCCGCTCTTGACGGCCACACCTCCGTCGCGCGCGGCGCGCGGCGGCGGGCCGCGCACCCCGGCACTGCGCGCGGCCCGCGAGCGCACCCCCGCACGAATTTGGGACCGCCCACAAGGAACATGGGACCCCTCCGAGCCCCAGGGAGCTCCATGGGCCAACGACAAGAGTGATGACTGCGGTCGCGCCCGCCTTCGCCCGCGCACTCTCCTCGGGAACTCGGAGACAAGGGCGGGCGCCCTCGGCATTCACATCGACCCCCGCGTCCCCATGACGACTTCCACGCTCGAGCGATTTGGGCGCCCGCGTTGGCTAGGACGCCCTCACGACGGGTCCAATCAAAATTCAATTCTGATGATGGGAAATACGATGCGCGATGATTCCAACGCGCCGACGCGCTGTTGACCGAGCCGCGCCGAAGCCCACCCTCATCGCGGGCACGTCGTTTTGCGGGACTGAGGACACTGGCGGACTGAAGTCACATGTGCGGTTTTCCCACGGCGGGCAACCAAATTGATTTCCCCGACGAAACGCACGTTCGCGAATCTTCTCTGTGCGAGCGTCTCGGGCGAGAGCCGCCTCTGCCCCACGAACAGCGGCCGCATCGAGCACGAACATGACGGCGATGTGTTCCTCGGCCCGGTGAACCTGGGGCCCCGGGTCTACGTCGCCCACCTCGTGGAGGCCGCGGCTGCGGCCCCTCGTCTGACTCGTCCTTCTCCCCAGTCTCGATCGTGAAAAATACTCCTTCTCTTCCCCGTAGAGCCTCGCCTTCAA